GCCAGAAGATATGCCAGATAGAATGCCAGAAGATATGCCAAATAAAATGCCAGAAGATATCAGGTAGAATGCCAGAAGATTTGCCAGTAACAAAACGTATAGATGTCATGGTGGGGATAACTCGAAGTAAAGTAACTCTCTGTCTCTCTGCCTCTCTCTCTCTCTCTCTCCCTCCCTCCCTCCCTCTCCATCTAACTAACGAACTAACTAGCTAGGTAGCTAGCTAGCTAACTATTTATCTATCTATCTATCTATCTATCGATCGATCTATCTATCTATCTAACCTAATCTAATCTAATCTAATCTAATCTATCTATCGATCTGTCGATTGATCTGTCTATGTAATCTAAACTAACCTACCTACCTAATCTAATCTATCTATTTGCCTGGCTGTCTGACTGTCTGTCTGCGTATCTACCGTTATCTATCTCTATCTATCTCTTTTTACCGCTATCTATCTCTACCTATCACTACCTATCTCTACTTATCTCTATGCATCTCTATCTATCTAAATCTATCTATACCCACCTAAATCTACCAATATAAATCTACCTAAATCTACCTCCCTACCTACCTACCTACCTATCTATCTACCTATCTATCTATCTATCTCTCTCTCCCTCTATCTCTCTATCCCTTTCTCTCTCTTTCTTTCTTTCTTTTTTCTTTCTTTCTTTCTTGCTTTCTTTCTTTCTTTCTTTCTATCTCTTCATCTATCACTGTGTCATTAACTACCCATCATTACTTATGTATCATCATCTATCCACCTATTACTATTTATCTTTTTTCTTCCTTCCTTCCTTCCTTCCTTCCTCCCTTCCTCCCGTCCTTCCGTCCTTCCGTCCTTTCATTCTTCCTTCCTTCCTTCCGTCCTTTCTTCCTTCGTCCTTTCTTCCTTTCTTCCTTTCTTTCTTTCTTCTTATTTCTTTTTCTTTCTTTGTCCCTCTGTCTCTCTGTCTCTCTCTCTCTCTCCACCTAACTAGCTAGCTAGACAGCTATCTATCTACCTATCTACCTCTATCTGTCTATCTATCTAAATATCCATCTACCTATCTAAATATCCATCTATCTGTCTATCTATCTATCTACCTATCTATCTATCTACCTATCTATCTATCTACCTGCCTATCTATCTACACCTGTCTATCTATCTATCTATCTACCTACCTATCCAATCTATCTAATCTAATCTAATCTATCTAATCTATCTAATCTATCTATCTATCTATCTAATCTATCTATCTATCTATCTACCTATCTATCTATCTACCTACCTACCTACCTATCTATCTATCTATGTATCTATCTATCTAATCTATCTAATCTATCCAATATATCCAATCTATCCAATCTATCCAATCTATCCAATCTATCCAATCTATCTAATCTATCTAATCTATCTATCTATCTATCAATCGATTGATCTGTCTATCTAATCTAAACTAACCTTTCTACCTAATCTAATCTA